AAATAACCGATAGTCAGTCGGTAAAACAATTGAATTAGCTACACCAGCCAAACGAGCTATTCAGTGATAAAATAACCGATAGTCAGTCGGTAAAACAATTGAATTAGCTACACCAGCCAAACGAGCTATTCAGTGATAAAATAACCGATAGTCAGTCGGTAAAACAATTGAATTAGCTACACCAGCCAAACGGGCTATTCAGTGATAAAATAACCGATAGTCAGTCGGTAGAACAACTGAAATAGCTACACCAGCCAAATGAGCTATTCGGTGTAAGGAATGACGCCATGAGCGGGTGGCGAGCGCATGACGGAAGTGATAAAATAATTTAACTTAAAGGCTATCGGGTAACAGGGTAAACCGGGCAAGCCCGTAAAATATATTCTTTTATCTACAGACATGTTTGTAATTAAGCGTGGAAATATTGGGTGGGTTGGGAGGGAATTTCGTGTAAGTCGGAGAGGGTTTAGTGGAGAGATTTGTAGGAAGGTCTGGAGTACACGACCTGTCCGGACCGCGTGTTAGCTCAGAGTGACACCACGCGGCACGGAAGTGACAAACACAACCATTTAATTGCGTACCGAACTTGGACTTGAACGTAAACTGACCGCGTGTTAGCTCAGAGTGACACCACGCGGTACGGTATAATTGGGAACAGCCTCTGTGAAGAGGATCTCAAACAGATCACTCTGTTGTCATGGCAACAGGCGAGACAGGCCACCCTGGTGGGTTGGCTTCCTGCTTTCCCAGCAAAAGCTCATTTTTGCTTGTGCAAAATGTCTTTTCGCTTCTAAACCCGGAGCTACGAGTGGTAGTCAGTAGTCAGTCCAGAGTCAACTATCAACCGCAGACAATACGAGCTTGGCAGTATTAAACATGCAACCTTTATTCCGGAACTCCGGTACAAGACAAACTGATCCCACAGAAATAGGCATGTGGGTAAGAGATAATTTAGAATTTACATATCACATGTGGAAAGCCGAAATGAGCAGGATATATAGCAAAATTATGATACAACTCATCAAAGGGTAAATTACGCCCTAAAAACTCATGCAATGGTTAACGCGAGTTCATAGACAGAAATACGCCTAATCACGTTTCAACTGGCTTAGGAGCGCCCCACGAACAGACTTGTAATATTGTAGGTTGCCAAAATCAGAGAGGTGCAGTCCGTCAGGGGCGAAATAATTTGGGTTCTTCCGCCAGAGGCGCTTGTGTCGCCATACAGAAACCGCCGGCAAATGTTCGGCGGCAGACGAGAGATGCTGGCGGAAATCAGCCAAACGTTCCGGGAAGTTGGGCATGCATGTTGGGCGGATCGGTGTAGCGCCAAATGGGTTCTGCTAGGATGATAGATTTTACAGCTGGGATGCATTGAATAGAGAATGCAAGGTCCGCCAGGTTTTGCGCAATTTGGTGAGGGGAGAGGTCCGCATGACACAAGTCGTTGTGACCCAGTTCAATATACACAATGTCAGAAGGGAAGTCTCTAATGTACGAGATCTGTATCGCGGGATTGTGCAACCAGGAATGCCGTGGAAGTCAACAGTTACTTCTGACAACCAGAAATCAGGGGCCACCGCTCGGCCGGACTGTGTAGTAGTACGGGTCCGTATAAAGGACTCTAGTCGGCAAACGAAGGAGTGGCCCGAAGGCGTTGTCCATGCTGACAAATAAGTATTACTAGTAGACGACAGACTCACCGCAAGCATGGACGCAAAAGGTCGGTGAACTCCTGGCCGGAGGCTCTGCACGGGCCGCAGCGTTCTGTCCAGTACGCTCCGGTACGATCAGCCGCAGCAGTTGCGACGCGACTTGGGAAAGGTCCTCCGGAGGGTAGAGCACGGCGTTCACAGTTCGTGGACGCAGCGGTGAGGGCGTCCACGTGGCGCGGCGGGGGCACGGTGTCTCAGTCCGAAGATTCAGACTTGGGAAAGGTCTTTCGCGGCGGAGGGTAGAGCACGGCGTTCGCTGTTCGTGGAAGCAGCGGCGAGAGGGCTCCACGTGGGGCGGCGGGCGCACGGTGTCTCAGTCCGAAGATTCAGAGCGAAGATGAGAAAATTTTGAGAAGAAATATCCAGAGTGTGATCAGACGAGCGAGCTTTCGTGTGATCTACTACGTGTGATCTGGGTGGAATGAATGATTCCCACTGCCCGTATTTGTTTGTTTGTGAGACCATGTCAACTCGGCCAATCAGAGTGCGTTACCTTATCGAGGATGTGTCCCCATATGTGTTAGATTTCGGGCCGGTCACGATTTAGCTGCGTGCACAAGTTGTGCCAATCTGGATTGAATTTTGATCTGGGCCGCGCACCGCTGAAAACCACATTTCTGTGTTTCTCTGGATGGCTGGGTTCAGGTCTGTCAGTCCCTAGCCGCGGCGACTGTTGCAGGGCTTCTCTTGCTTGCAGTCTTTTACATTAGCCCTGTTGTTTACAAACAGGAAAGTAAACATTTCAAAAGTGAGCAGAAACTGATAATGTCTAAGTCATTGAAACACAAAAGGAGAGCATACTGCACGTGTAACTATATCAGACGCGGGGTCCAAGAGGGTAAATAATAAATGTCAAAGGGGGTTCATGATATATGTCAAAATTTTACAGCAGACCAATTTTTTAAAACAGAAAACACTTGTCTGTATGCAATGAAAGCATTACAACGCAAGCATACATCTCTTTGTACATGTGCATTCATGTACATAACATCATAAGAAAACTGTGAATGCTGAAGATATATATATATACATATATATCTGCGAAGCATGTAGATTTACTAAGAGGTTGAGAAAATGAAAAACTAAACATTACTTCAGACATATTGCAAGTATAATATATAACCGCTGAAAAATAATTCACAAGCGCGAGATTCGGCGGGCACAAATTGAAAATAAAATAGCGAAGACTCACGTAATAAATTTAGTGAAATGGAGGTCCCTACACCCTAGTCACTTCCGTACGTTAACAGTTTACCTACTCTACATTAATAGAACATTACGGTTAGGAACATTTTAGCCTGTCCGAGCTTGGTACGGCGTCTACACTGGCGATGTCCTTGGTGCTGAAATGGAGGTCCCTAGTCTATACTGTGCGTATAGAAGAGTCTGCCAAACACCTCTTAATACATAGCAAAATATTTAATTTCATATAAAAAACACATAATAGTTGTTCAACTAAGTCTACGGCCATTTGGACCTTCTCAGAAGCTGACGTTCTGTTCTATTTTGACGCCAATTTTGTGCTTTTTGATGCAAAATACCTTCCTTTATACATCTTGGATAGAGGAAACTACTGACATCATGTATAATAATGAATAAATAAAGACAGAGCAAGCGTGTGAAGAGGTTCAACATGTATTGTTTATTACGCTAATGAAGAGTGAACAAGATGAAATGAAACCCTCAATAACCGATGAAAGGGTCATACTAATGCACAAGTATACAAGGATCAACTCATCACTATATCATAATCATCTTTAAGTTAGTAAATAACGCCAAGCAGTCGTTTCTATTGCCGCAAGTCTATAAATAATGCACAACGATATAGAATATATCAAGAGCTTTGAAAACTTCAGTTTTTAACAAATAAGTAGAAGAACTTCTAGTGATCAGATATTATAACCTTAACACAACAGAATATGATGCACCTGCATGAATACGTTCTTGATTAGATTTGAATATTGTCCGTGGATGTAATTTGTAGTTTCTACATTAAACTAGAATTTCGTAATCACTAACTATACTTTTGACCCATGACAAATCTTACTTTTCAATGATCTCTATTTTATGTTATATTTTCCTGCCTTGTGGGAATCAAGAATGCATCTTGGTTAAATAATTTAATTTAATTTAATTTAATTATACACTTAAAATGTACTACTAGTGCCGTCTACCATTGACATGACGACTCATGGTGTGAACTATCGTCATTTTGAATATATAACAAGTAATGTTTATCAAGATACCTACACCTAAAGATTGCTCTTTTTGTAATTGTCTTCAATCACTGGCGGTTAGAATAAAACAATGAAAAGCCGGAAACTACAACCTGCAGGAGTGAAGTTAGCAGCTAAGCAACGCTGGCATACGCAAAATCCGAGTGTATGTTTAAAGACATAAGGGAGCGCCGGTTGAGAAGGAACAACTGTAGCCCCGTTTCCGTCTTCTGTCAGTATCCGTCAGTGTTCACGCGTCTTGGATGTCCTGAATCACTTCCAGCTCATGATCGATCTTAGGGAAAATATGAAAACACACACTTAGTTTGAGGCAGCATTCCATGTAGGTTATATATCAATTCAAGACCTAATATGTCAGAAAAAAACAGTACTAAAATGTACCAAAAAATGTTTCACTATTTTTCACCTAGTGAAAACAAATTAATAGGAAAAAGGAGATAAATCATTTACCAAAAGAAAACATATAAACCTACAATCAAATGCACAGCCTACACTGTTGCTAATGTTATAGCATTGAACCAAGTCTCATTTCGTATTTTATTATTAACATTAAAAGTAGGTCAGGGTTTGAATTCTCATCGTTCCCGTCGGAAAATCATGAAAATCTGTTTGTCCTTCACTAAATTATCTTTTCAAGTCCCCATTATAGCATGTTCAGAACACAAGATATCAAAACTAGAAGTTTCTACTATAATGTCATAACAAGCCGTCGAACCTATTCTTTAACGGATGCGTCGATAGACGGTACCATCTGGCATCACACCCCATACTTGGTTGCTGCTAGAGCTGACGTAAACTTGTTTCAGTCTTCCTTCAACTGGCTGCCAGTCACTGCCTAGAAGTGTCTCGGAAGTTATACCTGCAAGAAAAGATGCTTGTCTTTGTCTATGTTTGGGCGAGAGTCAAATTATTTAAAGGAGTGTATGATATTTAGTGGGGGAGGGGCGGTCGTCTGAGGGGGGAGGGCCTAGGAAAAAAATATTTTAATTGAGGGGAGGACCTAGGATTTTTTTTCTGAGATTCATTAAACTTTCCAACGTTTTATATAATTTCTAAACACAACTTACGTCTAACCTATAGCGATTCGTCGGTCATTGAAATCGGCAGAATGTTACGTTCCAATACTATCCATCCCTATGAGAGGGTCTGTATGGGGTCCTGACAACGCTTAATGATATATTCAGGAAGGTTGGTAACGCTTAACGCTAAATTGATGTGCATTTTCTTTGTCATGCGGCAGATTCTGAATGTGCTGTTTATTAGTATAGCCTAGCATGAAACGCGCATTACATCGTGGATTAAAAGATCCTTGTTGGTCTGAGAGTAAACAGAAAATATCCAAACGGCAAACAAACTGAACACACATTAAAGATTCGATCGTCAGTACATATAGGACAAAACAGGTGAATAAAGCGCGGATGAAAACAAGTTACACGGAGAAGCATGCACAGGTTGTTTAGTCCAGAACCAGAAAGCCAATTGTAGAGGAAATATTTCATCGTGATCATGAACTTACCGTCACAGTCTTTCCATTCGCCCTGGTAGTCCGCGGTTAAAGAACACCAGGGACGGTTATGGCCGACGTTGGTACAGGAATAGTAGGTTTTTCCTTTGTACTTAAATGGAAAATGACACTCTGAAATATAAGAAATTGAGTAAAAGGCATGAGGAGGGCAACTGTTTATCAATCCGTTCCCGTACAATGTACCTACAATTATACCAACACGTCAGCACACTGCCCTCTCTGCATACACACGGGATCAAGACCTGTTTCAAACCAACTTGAACCCTGCCTCCGGAATATAATGGTTGCACCAAAGGACAAAACACCAATTCCAAGGGCCCATGTAAGGACACTTATGAGACTGAAAGATCCCCCAAGACTACATGTAGGTTCTAGAACACAAACGACCTAGCTCGACTACTTTGGAAGTCTTAAAACATATACACATAGAATCGCCTGGACATTCAGTCTCAACGGACAAAGTTAGAACCTTGGACACAGAAACGGACTTTTTTGCGCGAGGGATTAATGAGGCCATCTACATCAGGGCATTACAACCATCCCTCAACAGAGACGGGGGCGCCCTAGCTTATGATCCACTGCTCACGGAGTCACGTGTGCGAGACAATCTCGTGCCCAGTATGGCATACTTTGCTTACGATTTTCTGGGAACAAGATTGCATTCATGGGGTGTCTTTCATAGTGCGGAAACGAAGACAAGCGAATGCTATGAATGTCTATGTGTAACGAAGAATTGTTCATTAACGCTTAACGCTGAATTCTGGATGGCAAATAACGCGCTACGTAGATTTAAAACGACCAATAACGCTTCACGATGAATATACTGATACTGCTAAAACGTTGAGTTAGAGTGAGCCGGCTACGATTGACGGTGAATAAAACAGCACATAACGCTTCACGGAAAAGGGCACGCAGGCCTTCTTAATAGTATTGCCTAGTATGAAGTGAGCATAACAACCTCCCCCCCCCCCTCCCCGGGGCCCCGAGTGTCTGAACGGCTAGAGCTAGAACCGCCAAACTTGGTGACTTTTCCTAAAATATTGTTCGCAACAAATCTGTATCAGTGGAATAAGATTATGGTTTTTCTTGTTTACATGGCAACGGATTTCTGACAGGCATTTTTTGCGAAATTTAATAATTTCCATTTAAACAGAATTTTATGGGTTTTATGTCAAGTTACACATTGTTTCTAATATTAATAACATCACATATAATTATATGTAAATTTTATCATTAAAAATGCATAATTTATGCTAATTTAATGACGTCATCGGCCAAAATCCAACATGGCGGACCATATCATTAGATCAGGTAAATATAGCTTATTTTCCTTAAAATTTCATCAACACTCCCATTTCTTTTACAAAAAAGGTTCATATGAACGTCTTTAGTCTGTTTACAATGTATTTTAGGCTTTATCCTGAAAAAAACAAACTATTTTTCAAAATTCAAGATTGATGATCAAAGATGGCGGATTGGTAATATATGCATGACGTCATTTTATGACGTCACCGGTGTTGCTATGGTCAACATAAGACTTAGTACACCTTGATACTCTGTCATAAACACTTTTGGTAAAGTTATGTTGTATACCATTTAGTTTTCAGGGAATAACCTATCAAGACGGTTTTGGCCAATAAAATCTCATTAATGACGTCATAGTGACGTCATATTACGTCATAACGACATAAAAATTGCTGATATGATAAATTTTTACTAGTACACCATCCTCTGAAAATTTGGTGGTCATACAACATACCGTTCGCGAGTTCTGAGGGGGGTCAAAAGAGCCCCCCCCCCGTCCCACCATGCTCAAAAAAGCCCGGTCTAGATAGGGTTAAAACCTTAAACAACGCATTTTCGTGCATTTTGACAGGCAAGATGGGGTACAGAATGGGATACCCGTTTAAAACACCTGCATGGTCACTACTTGTCGGCTCCATCTGTGGCAGAAAATCCAAGGTCTTCGCTGTAGTCAGGGCAAATGTCAGTATTAGGCACTTGCTCAGAGGGCCCAGTTTTAGTCTACACGTCTACTAAATCTGGATCAAACGGGCGGAATACCCGAAGCTAAGGCCTCTAGTCGAAGCTAAAATCAATTTTCAACCCAAAATTACCATTTCTTACACACGCCAGCCATGTTATTACCTTCGCCAAGAAGGTTATGTTTTCAGAGGCGTTCGTGTATCTGTGTGTGTGTGTGTGTGTGTATCCGTCGGTATGTGGACATGATAACTTGAGAAGGCTTAAATGGATTGTTTTGATACTTGGTAGGTGGGTAGGTCTTGATGATACCTCAAAATGATTAGATTTTGAACTCCCTAGCGGCTTGTTATGATACTGCAGCTGAACTTCCGGTTTTGATATCTCATGATCTAGCTATAGACATGCTAGGGTGACGAAATTTGGATGGTGTAGATACCTCTTGTGCTGGGGAAGAAGTGACGTGAGTTTCTGAAACTGCAGGCTATCTGTTTAAAAATATTCAAAGGAGGATAACTCAAGAACCGAATGATGGTTCGTCGTGATTTTTGGTATGTAAGTAGCTTACGTGATGCTTGATGTAATTATCTGGCAATTATGCAAATATAGATGTAATTACAATTCATGGGGAGATTCTATAAATCAGCTGCATTCCATAATAGGACTATTGAAGCTTGTAAGATTGGTAATTGAGAATTGATTATGTACATGAATACTTAATTTGCATAATTGATGAAAAAATGTTATAATTATGTAATGATAACTACCTGCAATTTCATACTTGAGGTATTTGCAAGTTCAGTCAAGGTAAACATCATTAAACATAATGTATTTAAATCAGGACCTCATTTGCATAATTTATGAGAAAATGCTAGAATGGCATTTGCTTGTTAATATAAGATTGTTTTTTGGTTGAGAATATGATAAACTGATATACTTAATGAAAATGAGGATCCTATTTGTTAAATCAGGAGGAATAATCTATTATTTATCAGTCATAAAGATAAACATCATTTGGCGAAGGTATGAGATCGGGGAACTCTAATTATCTTAAATGATATTTCGTGGCAATTTACCAGAAATGTCCCGTCAAAATTCAACCCCCAAAACCCATTTTTTACCGCGCACTACCATGGGTTAAAAGGTATTTGTTGGTCTGAGAGTATCAAAACGGCAAACAGACAAACCGAACACACATTAAAGATTCGATCGTCAGTACATATCGGACAAAACAGGTGAATAAAGCGCGGATGAAAACAAGTTACACGGAGAAGCATGCACAGGTTGTTTAGTCCAGAACCAGAAAGCCAATATTGTAGAGGGACATATTTCATCGTGATCATGAACTTACCGTCACAGTTTTTCCATTTGCCCTGGTAGTCCGCGGTTAAAGAACACCAGGGATGGTCATGGCTGACGTTGGTACAGGAATAGTAGAGTTCTCCTTCGTACGCAAATGGAAAATGACACTCTGAAAAATAAGAAATTGAGTAAAAGGCATGAGGAGGGAAACTACGGTGGCCCGTAAGTACAGGCATGCGTGTCTGCGCGAATACCCTCCACGTCTGCGTGAATATCTTCCACGTCTGCGCGAGTACCTTCCACTTCTGCGCGAATACCTTCCACGTCTGCGCGAATACCTTCCACGTCTGCGAGAATACCTTCCACGTCTGCACAGAAAAAACTTCCTCGTCTGTGCGAATACCTTCCTCGTCGGCACGAATACCTTCCACGTCTGCACAAAAAAAACTTCCTCGTCTGCGCGAATACCCTCCTCGTATTCGCGCAGACACGCATGCCTGTACTTACGGGCCTCCGTAGGTAAAATCAACAGAAAAATTATGTTCACTCCAAAATTAATGCACAAACACGGTGGTAAAATCTGGGCTGAAAAGTTCCCACATGTCATAGAACCCGAACTGTGTTCGATCGTGTTCGATCTGGGCAATTCGAATCGAACCCGCGTTCTATTTCGGGGTCACCTGCGGTCATTTACTATAAAGCGGCAAAACAAGCCTTTCTACCTCTGTGCATTGCAACAGATAAAAAACAACACTTTTCTATAGATACAAACAGTTTCCTGGACAGTACATGTCCGCTATTATTTTTGGTGGACATGTAACATGTAGCGAAGCTACTGTCGTATCCTTGAATGACCTTGAATACTGTAATGATTCTTTACACCAGTATGAATAACACAATGCACACTTTCTGGCGATATGACATGTCTCCAAAACTCGTTCAAACCTGGAAACATGGAGAGTCAAACATACCCCATTTACGGCTCAAAATGACTGTAACGGTTGTCCCGAAAATCGTGTTTTAGGGATTTTTGAAAAATGGCCTCAATTTTGAATTATGGGTAATTTAGTGAGAAAAATGTCAAAAAATGCCATTTTTTCACCAATATGTCGACAAAAACTAGACTTAAAATCAGAAATTAAAAAATCCCTAAAACACAATTTTTTGTCTTATTCCTAGTCTAGTAAAAATATAAAAATCGGGGATCTGGGGTAATATACGTAGCCAGGTTTGAACGATGTTTGCCTAATAACGTGACATGACTTGTGCTCGGAAACCCGAAAATAATCGTCTTTCTGAGCGAAATATTAAAAAATCATTGATTTAACATAAAAAGCTAACATTTAAAGGATGTTAAGACGATAATTTCATTTTAATTTGACGAAATTTACCCCTAAATATTATTTGTGTATTTTCAAATATTTTACGGGTAGTCCAAAACAGGCCAAAATAGCGTGTTGTAACCCGATACCTTTTAGAACGCGCATAGCAATGGGAAAGAATGCCGTAGTGACAGACCGCCGTGAAAATTTGAAATTTTCACACAGGATAATCCCATTGAAAAACTTTCCATCTGACATGACTGATGCTAGCAGAATGAGGCAAACCTTGTATATGCCCAAGTTATCTATACAATCATGTACTTTTCTTTTATCTTATGTTACTCCATGCTACATATAACAAAAAGGAGCCTACTGCCTAGTACGTGGATTTTGTTGTCCGTGCCGACACCCCAGACCTCTCCATTCCCTGATGAGATTTGTTTCAAGGAGACACCGCCGACATGTTCCCACCCAGTTCCAGTGGAATCCTCGTTTTCAAACGTTCCCGTGCGGTAGTAGACCTTGTGGTCGCTGCCGACGGCCCAAACGCCTGCTCGCCCAATCGACACCGAGACGAATGTCTTTAAAGATAAACTCCCCGTAAACCACGAAACAAACGAAATCCAAGATGTAAGATCGATAGTCTCCCAGCCTGTTCCTGTAGGTAAGATGACGAAAGAGCACAAACATCAAAACAGAGCACAACTTTTATTGAATTTCCGACAAGTCGCGGTAAGAATGGATGGCATGATCTCACCGAATGGAGTGTCTGTGGTGATGCCAGTTCGTCGTTGGGCGTGGTCTTCGTTGTCTATGCCCCACATTTGATTGCTTGTCGAGCTGACATACACCTGCTTTAGGGCCTGTTTAGCAGTTTTCACGCGGGTATGAACTTGGAGAGGAGACCCCTTCCTTGGTTCTGTAGTTACTGTAATAGATTATTAGAAAGAAATACATGCATCGACACTAGCGAGACAAGAAAACTTCAGAAATAATGAGCATGCCATTACTTTGCTTTGGTAGACTCCAGATCTTTCCTGTGGGTATCTTAATTTTATGAAGACAGTGCACTAGTTTAGGGGACGAAGCATGGTCGTGCAAGTTAACCAATAACTTACCTACATATATGAGAAAGACATCAGAATGTTTGTGGACTGCCCACACAACCTCGATTCCGGATGAGATCGATGTGAAAGGGACGTTGACTACGTTAGTCCAGTCCGTGCCCACAGAGGCTTCGTTCTCGTAAGTTCCAGTTCTGTAGAAGACTTCGTTGTCACTACGCACTCCCCAAACACCTGCTCGGCCAACCGTCACGAAGTTAAATTTAAACTTTCCGTCTATACGTTCCCATCCTGCACATGTAGAGAAAATCGATCCAATTAATAATGAAAATGACTCCCAATCCACCAAACGTTATTGTCATCACATGCGTCTTACCTAACGTCTAAAATGATTGAAAATAATCCCATGGTTTACTTACAACCTAAAGCAATATAACAACTTCATAGAGTACGTTTTTCGCCCATGGTCTAACTAATGTGTGGCTTCACTTGTAAGACCACTCAGTCTGTTGCTTTTTGGCGACATCGCAGGGTAGAGCAGGGGTATATATTGTGCCCAGATTGCAACAAGTCCAGGAATTTCACGAGCTATGAGTTCGTGCAGGTAGGCTCTTTTCTTGTTTGAATCGTGTCATGGGTGACATCTGGCGATTAACACCTGAACTGCATGACTTGACGCCGACCACTGGATTTGCTGGGAGGTACATAGCACGGATTTGTTTTACTTGACACTTCATTGCCTTCGCCAGAAGGGTATACATTTACTTTGGTACGGAGGCCCGTAAGTATAGACACGCAGGCCTGTACTTACGGTTTATTGCAATGTTGGACAAATTATAGTGCTGCTCGATGATCTACTAGAAGTTAGATTTGACGTCATTACGCTGTTATAAAACTTATTCTAAGGTTGCAAAACGGATCTCACCACAAGCTTGTACGTCACAATGCACCAGGCCATTGTCATCGGTGGAGCACTCAACTTCACCCAACTTGCAACCTGCAAGTTCATCAGAGGTAATAAACGCTGTCTTGAAAAGTTCAAGTGGGACATGACCATGTTTGGGATGAAGTTCCGTTTACTGAAAGATACACGAAGGCGAAACGAAGATATCTGTCCGAACTGCCAGTTTGGGATGGGAAATAGGATCACATCCCATCCTTGCACGGCAAATTCATGACCTCTAAAATAGACTAGACGTAATGGCTACCCTAACAGGGTGTTGCACTTGGGCAATTTTTTTAAGTTTCTAAAGTTTCTACAGAAACTTGTATTACAAGTGATACCATGTATGAAGAAAAATCGTTGGATAGCGATGAGCGGTTAAGTTGCGCTCCTTCAAATTTAAGTGCATTACTTTAAAATGGCACTATACGGACAGTACAGGACACTGGAGCTCATTAGGCACAAAACAACAAAACTCGTTGCATCCTCCAACGATTTGTTTCAAATCTGTAATGACGTTATAGAACTATAAAAGGAGGGTACAGACTTCTTTAAAAACTACAACATTGTTAAAAATGTTATTACACTTACATATTTTGCTTATATGTTATACAATCTCTACGGTCACTACACATCTCTACATGGTAATTTATGACTGTCATTTTGTTTGTTTATAACAATTATCAAAGTGGCTTCTGTCATAAAGCCACCATCTTTAAATGTTTCACAATAGTTGATGAGCCACCTCAATCCCCGTATGCTGACATTCTGAAGCAACACATACTTGATACTGTAGATCAGCTCAGAACCCATCATAACAATGCAGATTACCTGATAATGGGTGACTTCAACCGTATAGATGTATCAGATATGTCTACTGACAGATTGTTAATGTACCTACGAGATCTAATGCTATTCTTGACCTTATAATTAGGAAAGTTTAGCCCGAAGGCTAATTGCATGAACAGAAGAAACATTTGTATAAAAAACAGATAATTAATACACATAGAACTACTAATAACTATTAAGAAACTACTAGTAGAAAAACTACTGGGTTTGACTTCTTTTTTGAAGACAGAGGAAGACAAAGGATCCCACTTTTTCTATAATTTGTGGGTTTTCGGATGATGACAAATTTCTCTGAGTATTATGATAATATACGCCGTCTGTTACCTCACCGCTGGGTACTGGTGACCACAACGTTGTGCTGCTGTCGCCAAAACACCAGAAGGTCGAGAACAAGGTTACAAGGCGAGAAATTAGGCCAATGAAAGACTCCGGTCCGGTAGTCCGTCATTCGGCCAGTACAAGCGGGTCACCCAACACCATTGGAACGAAGTGACGGAAGCAAAGACAACACAAGACAAAGCATCAGCCTTCTATAGGACATTAAACGCGGAGGTAGGAACACATTTCCCTGCCAAGGTAATAAGACTACATGTCCAGGACAAACCTTGGATTTCTCAGAAGATAAAGTCAGCGATCAGAAGGCGACAGCGAGCATTCCGGGATCAGGATTGGGAAAACATGGAGAATGCTACGCGACAAGATTCAGAGGGAGGAGATCAAGAGGACCAGAAACCAGTACTAGAACAACAGGGTTCAGAACCTGAAGAAGCACAGTAAAGTGCATGGTACAAGGAGATAAAAGTCCTAACAGTTACACAGAAATAGGACATGACCATCCAAGCTCAAGGTATTGATCCAGACAGTCACCACGACATAGATAATAACCTCATCAACCAGAAGTTCACCAACGTAACAACGTCGTTACCACCCCTGGACATGTTATTACGAGCGTATCAAGCCCATCAGAGAATATGTTTACCTCAGCTCTTGTGTAAATTAGATCCTGATTTTAATGATATGCATTTCATTATGTTTATCTTTACCTTAGGCACCTACCTACCAAAAGCAATGAAAAATCATCCACCCGTGCTTTAGTTATTTGAAATAAAAAAAACGCCTACTGCAGTTGCAAAGAAGCTGCTAGGAGGCCAAAAATTACACCAGGTACTCCCAGTCTTAACAGCTTTGGACTACTTAAAAATCATCAAGCTATAACTTCCGGAAACTTTTACCTCAAACTTTGAAGCTCCGCTGCAACACCTAACACAGCCGCTAGGAGGCCCATTATCGAACTTGACCTGCGTCTTTGTTGTTCCTACCTAACCACTAAATATCACTAACATCCTACAGCGTTTTTATGTTGTACAAAAAAAAACGAAAATATACTCTGCAGCAACGTAGGAACATGACAGGATAACAATGTTTGAACTTGAACTTTGCTTCTTTAACCTCTACTCACCTACCAAATATCATTAAGATCAATTCAAAAATTTTCGACTTTACATACAATCAACAAATGCATAAAAAGTTCGCTAAAATACGATTTGAAAAGGCCAGATGTACCATTCCTCAGCTTGAACTACATTGTTACAACAGTTACCTACATGCCAAAATAAAAACAAACTAGAAAGGCCAATATTTGCTTTGGAGCAAATACAGCGATGGGTTCACCACATTTTACGACATGGCAGGGAAAGAATGAGAAACACAAGGGAAAACAATGATTTACATTGATATAACTATAATATGAAGTAAAATACAACTAAAACAACAGTTGGATAGCTATTCCCTACTTTATTGGTTAGGATTTTTAATTGCATAATGCAAACTGTTGATTTTCAAATAAAAAAAAAAAAACGTCCATGCCCCGCATTCCAATGCTGGAGCAGGAAAGCTTGAAATACCTACCAAAACACTTGAATACAGACATACTGTCAGTATGGAAATGCTCTGTGCAGGTGTTAATCAAGTTAAATCCCAACAGCCAATCAGCAAGAAATGCTCTGTGCAGGTGGAAATGCTCTGTGCAGGTGTTGATCAAGTTAAATCCCAACAGCCAATCAGCAAGAAGAATAGAGGAAAGCTGCATGCCTATTGGTTGATGCCCTGCATTCCATTGTGATGACTCATGCCCAAACGTGGTAAACAAGGCACACTAACACAGTAATACATTTGCTATAACACAGCTAAAAAACTCAAATAAAATCATTCTAAAAGCCTGTATCACGATAATTCAAAAAACGCCTAGGGGTATTTGCCCACTGTACCTCCATACCAAATTTCAGAACCTTGGGCCCTAAAATGAAGAAGCTGAATCCATTTAAAAAATGGCAGGAGAAGGAGAAGTAGAAGAAGAAACATCAGAAAAAGCAATATGGGTTCACCACCACTTCGTGGTGTGGTGAACCCATAAAAATTATCCGTCCACAAATGATTGAGTGATACGGGGACACGCCACAGCTGCTTCACCAAAATCTACCTATTCCATATCTTACGAAAGCAATGAGGTAAACATGTTCTCTGCTGGGCATGATGATAACATGTCCAAGAATCCGGGACACATCTGCCAATCGAATGTGGCAATGGAAAGTATGTCAATATGCAACATGATCTAGCATGCAGTCAGGTGGCGTCTGAAAAAAAGCTGGTTCAATGAAATTCATCAAGAAGTCTACATGTATATCTTCGATAGTGTGTTTGTGTGATGTGGTGACACCCAGACTGCATCATCATCGGTCGACCGTATTGGTCGGGGTTATACCGCCCCTTACGAGGTGACATACCCTTTCGTTAGCTTAATACAAGACGGGGGTTCGCCACGCCTTCGTCCGGGTGATGATGTAATCACCATGTGTGGTGATGTAATCACCATGTGGCTGGTACGGAACAGAGGTTCGCCAGGCCTCCATTCGGGTGATTTGAAGTGAATCACCAACTCCATACAGTAGTGTTTGTACCATCGCACACCGGGGCATGCCCCTACTCTTTTTCGAAAGGTGTGGTGGGTTCTTTAACGTGCGTGGGGTGTGGCTCTCCCCAAACACGGGACCCAGACTGCAGCCCAAGGTCAACTTGGTGCGAACATATCTACACCTGACGAAAGCATGTGTTCCATGAACTCTAGTTTACAATAGTCGTACTTACGTGTTTCACAGTGTTTTCCTTGGAAGCCAGGGTAACAATTACACCTATAACTGTTGACGCCGTCCTCGCAAGTTCCGAAATTTTGACAAGGCGTACTTTCACACTCGTTGATGTCTGTATAGGCATATTGGGATGGCGGTTAATGTGCCTTCCAAGAAAAAAGCAACTCGAATATCGCAAGTCCTTTGCATTACAAATTACGATTAGTGAAGGCTTCCTCGATTATTATACGGCCTCCCTTTATTCCAAGAGAACGCAATATTTCAAACAGTTTACCTTATTTGTAATAGGAGAACTAAAACTTGATTCACAGCGATCATCTTCTTCGTAGTCAGGAACACAATCACAGCTATAGCTGTTAAAGCCGTCCATGCTAGTCCCGCCATTTTGACAGAGCATACATTCAATAATACAGGTTACGTAAAATATATTATTATTATAGGAGTACTAACTTGTGTCACAGTGATCTCCTTTATAGCCAGGAACACAATTACACCTATAGCTGTTGACTTCGTCCTCACAAGTTCCGCCATTTTTACAGTCTACACCAGAACAGTCGTCGATGTCTGCATGGGCACATTGGAATGGCAGTTTATGTCCTCTATACAAAACAATTAACAGCGCTCAGTTCTCTTCTGCAAGCTTTCTGGGAATCTCGGACACAGTAAATGTCAACAACCTTTCCGACAACGTTAAACAACTTTTAATTCTACGTAGTAGTTTGTTCTGTTCTCCTGACATAAATTGTAAAATTGTGCCACTCAAAACTATATCATAGCAACAAAACTTTTTAGGTAATCTGTCTTTAATTTTTTTTTCTTTCTATTCATTCTGAGAGGTGGGGAGGTTCTGACTCACGTAATGTTATAGGTATCTGTTATGTTTCTATGTTATTCATCAATTTGAGTGCCTGGGTAAATAGATTTATTTTCCACATTAAATGTATAAGTGCCAGCGAGTATATAAGTTGTGTATAGCTCGAGTCCATAGTCACTTAGTCTTTGACCTTTTATCGCATTGATATTTTATAACATACATGTTACCTCATTATAGGAGTACTTACTTTTTTCACAGCGTTGTCCTTCATAGCCAGACTTACAATTAATACATTTATAGTCGTCACCCTCTTCCACGCAGAATCCGTCATTTTCACAGGTCACAACTTCACAGACTGCTGGTTCTGTATTGACATTTGGAATGGCAGTTGAAGTGCCTTAAAGATAAGCAACTTAAATCGTCGCACATCATTTGCATGTAAAAGTACGATCAATCAAGGCATGAAAACGCGATGAGACATTTCATATGGAGACATATCCAGTCATCTTAGGCCGTGTCTAAACGGAATCACCCAAGGCGGTTTACATGTGGTTTACCCCGAAGCCGGTTTCAAGTGGCTCCATCTGAACGCTCCGAAATCACATTGAAAGCGCCTCGATCCCAAGCCACTTCTAGAGGTGGTTTCGATTCGATTTTCCCGCATCGCGATTTGCGTCTGAACGCAATGTGATTTCAATGTGACTTCGCCTGGTCATGGATTACGGGGTGATATTTCTTAATTTATATGCAATACCAACTTTAACGTGGCAGCAACTTAAAGAGAAGTAATGGTCAAATAATTTGTCCGTTCTAGGGCAAGCTTCACCGCCTCTGGCAGGACCATGTCGGCATTCGGCCAAGATACGCTGGGAGGGGGCATCAGCAAGCAGGTCGTTGACCTCTGACATTAATAACACGCCACCTCGCGTGTTATCATTAAACAGCAATAAATGTAGCTCAAGCGAATTGTGATCGGACATGGTTTCACAGGAGTGTGTGGCACATGAACCGGATGTGAGGAATGTGAGTTACCCGAATCGCGGTTTGGGTGACTTCACATAAACACGGCCAAAGTTAAAAACATATTTGGTCAAATCTGTTTGCCCGGATGTTAATTAAAACATATTTTAATTCGGGACCTAGGTACACCTGTGCCTTTATCAGCTTAAACCATAGTCTGTTTTTACGTAAACTAGTTACTAGTCCTCGCAGCTGCGGGTTCTGATGCGAAAGCATTCCTCATTTTTATTTCACTGCCCCATTTACACTCAGCAGCGTGTCTACCTCCTCGACAGACTTTTACAATTGAACATCCCATTCTTAGATATTAACATCTTATAATCTGGTAGTACTACTGTGTATCTGTTACTCAAAGAATCACCTTTACTTTCATCTGAAGTCAACTCTCAAATACTCACTATTACACAGCCGTACCTTTCTGAAACCAAGAGATTTAATAACTGATTCATGGCACTGTATCGAATTATAATAATTATCGTAATAGAACAACTTTGTTCTTGTTACCTGGACGTTTACCCATGTGGCATTGTTTTTTCTTTTGTTGTAAAAAAAATGTTTATTTTATGTCTAGTGGTGGCGTTAATATAAGCCATATTAGGGTGTACCAGAGTTTTGTACTTGCTAACTTGGGACAATTTTTCAAGTTCAACATTTTTTTCAATTACAGGTGATACCATACATGGTGCTTTTAAAATTTTTGGACAGGGATGTGCGGTTTAAAGGTTGCGCTCACAACGCTCACAACGGGCACTACACAGACACTATGTACAGAAATAAGGCTCCAGATTCCAAAATGTACATTTTTTGCCTGAAAATTACAAAAAACAAACAAATAAAACAATTTCAAATGCATGTTTCAAAAAAATGAAAAAAAAAAATATCTGGGGGTATTTGCTCACTCTACCTCCGTGACAAATGTCAAGTCATTCGGCTAAAAAATGGCAGAGTTAAATCCCTTTAAAGAAATGGCAGGAGAAGAAGAAACATGAGGGAAAACAATACATTTTTCTCCCATACTATAGTATGGGAGAAAAGTAATAATACAATTAATGAATAGATAGTTACACTGATAGAACAAGGCAGGATGCCATTGATACACTTTAATCTTGGAATAGCCGTTTATGTGTCCTTTTTGCTTTCTGGGTCTGGGAGGGGGGGGGGGTTCTGACTCACGTAATGATATAGGTACAGTATCTGTTATGTCTCTATTTAATTATTACCTCCGGGGAAGGAGATATCCTTCCGCGAGGAGGTTTTACTATGGTTCGAAACATTTCTGTCAGCAGCTGTTTCTCGCAATCGGCTGGACGGATTTGTCTGTGGTTCGGTATACGTATTGCTATTGGGCTGCAGATGATGCAGAGCGTTTTTGTTTAATTGCATATGTGTTTATGGGCGTCGAAATAAAAGGTTTTTAAGTGCTCCGGAAACCCCCGCCATGCTGAAAATGGTAGTTACCATGTTGTTAAGGAATGGGGTGGTTGCAGTTTTGGGTCTTAGCATTCAAAAGGGGTCAAACAGAGGGGTGTCTGGTTCCGATAAAAGTTTTGGGTGACGGCGCATGCAGCAATGACGGCGCGGGATGACGGCGGGGGTAATGGCGCGGGTGACGGTGCAGGCTGTCAGACACGTTAATCAACAGTCCATACCGAACCAACCGTCAGTAGCCATCAAACACATACAAACATATTACGCACATAACTTTCATACTACACACAAACAAATAACCTAAACCAATAGAACACAAAAAAAACCGGAGGTTTGAAATCTACGATTTCCCTTGTTATTCCTAATCTTATAAATTTGAGTGTCGCTTTCAATATTTCTATTTTCCATAATGTACAAGGGGTTGATCATGGTCGTTAGCAGGAAGACTCAGTCCGTTACCAATTCGGTGTCCACGTCCACACGGAAATCATGCCATATACTTACCAATTTCACAGTTATCCCCTGTATAGCCATAATCACATGTACAGCTATAGGTGTTGACTTCGTCCTCGCAAGTTCCTCCATTTTGACAGGGCGTACTTTCACACTCGTCGACGTCTGCATAGGCATATTGGGATGTCACTTAATGGGCTTCCAATAAAAAACAACAACTCAAATTGTCCCAAATACTCTGCATCACAAAGTACGATGATTCAAAGATGGTTTCCTCGATTACGGCATGGTCTCCCTTCTTTCCAAGAGAACACAATGAACAATCTATCAAACAGTTTACTTCATTCATAATAGGAGTACTAAGTAAACTTGTTTCACAGTGTTTTTCTTCTGACTGTCATACAGGTTAGTTCATTAATAGAAGTACTTACTTGTTTCATAGTGTTTTCTTTCATAGCCAGAAGCACAATTACTAATATCATAAGCTGTTGAAGCCGTCCACGCAAGTTCCGCCATTTTGGCAGGGCATACATTCTGTCATACAGGTTACTTCATTTATGATAGAAGTACTTACATGTTTCACACCGTTTTCTTGTATAGCCAGAAACACAGTTACATGTATAGCTGTTGACGCCGTCCCGGCAAGTTCTGCCATTTTGGCAGGGCATACATTCTGTCATACAGGTTACTTTATTTATGATAGAAGTACTTACCTGTTTCACAGCGTTTTCCTGTATAGCCAGGAGCGCATATACAGGAAAAGTCATTGACGCGGTCCCGGCAAGTTCCGTCATTTTGACAGGGATTATTATGACACTCGTCGAAGTCTGTATAGGCATATAGGCAAATTGATTGTAAAATTATGTGTGCCACTCAAAACTATATCGTAGCAACAAAACGTTTTAGATAATGTGTCTTTTTTGCTTTCTATTCTTTCTGGAAGGGGGTTCTGACTTACGTAATGCTATCTGTACTGTCTCTATTAATTATTCTTCATATATTTGAGTGTATATATTTGGGCAAATATTATCATTTTCCACATTAAATGTATAAGTGGCAGCGAGTATATAAATTCTGTATAACTCGAGCCCATCGTCAGTTAATCTTTGGCATTTTATTTGTATTGATGTTTTTCTGACTAAAACAAAATCTGTCAATGACATACAGGTTACTTTATTAGTACTTACCTGTTTCACAGTTTTCTCCAACATAGCCAGGAGCACATTTGCATCTATAGTCTCTGTTGTCATCTTCAGTCGCGGCATAACAAATTCCGTCATTTTTACAGGGCAGCCCGACACGAATACAGACAAATGGTTCTGTATTGACATATTGGGATGGCAGTTCATGTGCTTCAAAAACAAGCATCTTGAATTGTCGCGAATCCTTTGCTTGTCGCGAATCCTTAGCCTTAGCTTCTTTCCCCGAAAACGCAATTAAACATTCCCCAAGAAGACATATCCAGTCAATATGATCAACTCATATAATTCATGCAAATGATCTCATTTGCATAATTATGAGGAATAATCAGCAGTGATAAATGATAACATCATTTGGCGAGGGTATGAGATCGTGAAACTCTAGTTATTCATAACTTCATAAATTTGATCGTTACAGTTTGCCAGACGTGACAAATGGACGCCTAAACGTTACGTCTTTACGTACGTTTATTTGACACGGAAATGATGTCATATACTTACCACATCCACAGTAATACCCTGTATAGCCAGAAAGACATTCACAGGCTCCTTCCACGCAACTTCCGCCATTTAAACAGTACGCCCAAGAACAGAAGTCTGTTGCTACATTGACAAATTGGAATGTCAGCGAATGAGCTTTAAAAAGAAACAACTGGAAACCTTTGCATATCAAAGTGCGATCAGTGATAGTTTCCTCAATTACGGCATTGTCACCTTTTCCCGCAAACGCAATGAAAAATCTGCCATGGTGTCATATCCGGTCATTCTAGCTGTGGTTCAGCTGCGGGTGTCCAAACGATTTTTTATTACCTGTTATAATTCAATTGAACTTGTCGACATGTCAATGCCAATACCAATATTAAAGCTGAATCTGAATCACACTAGCTGCCTTACATATACTTATCAGTGCTCAGTTTTCTTCTGCAAGCTTTCTGGGAATCTCGGACACAGTAAATGTCAACAACCTTTCCGATAACGTTAAACAACTTTTAATTTTAGGTGGTAGTTTACTCTGGTCTCATGACTTTATTGTAAAATTGTGCTAGCCACTCAAACCTGTATTGTAGCAACAAAACGTTTAGGTATATGTGTTTCTTGATAATTCATTTACTCCAAACCATGTTCCTACTTTGCGTAATTCTTGATTAGCCACCAAAGAATCGAAGATTTTTGAGAAAGGAATATGTTGGTATCATTGCCAAATGGTATAAGATATTCAACTTATCGCAGATATTTGCATCACAAAGTACGATCAGTGATGGTTTCATCGATTAAGGCATGGTCTTGGTTGTTTTCAAGAGAACGCAATCTGTCAAATAGGTTACTTCATTTATAATAGGAGTACTAAGTAAACTTGTTTCACAGTGTTTTCCTAATGGCTGTCGTAACAGGTTAGTTCATTTTAATAGAGGTACTTAATAGAAGTAATAGAAGTACTTACTTGTCTCTTACTTGTTACCAGAAGCACAATTACGAATATTATAAGCTGTTGAAGCCGTCCACGCAAGTTCCGCCATTTTGGCAGGGCATACATTCTGTCATACAGGTTACTTTATTTATGATAGAAGTACTTACATGTTTCACAGCTTTTTCCTGTATAGCCAGGAACACAGTTACATGTATAGCTGTTGACGCCGTCCCGGCAAGTTCCGCCATTTTGACAGGGATTATTATGACACTCGTCGTAGTCTGTATAGGCATATTGGGATGGCGGTTTATGTGCTCAATACGAAACGATTTCTTACTACCTGTTAAACTGCCCCACATACAAGTATACTTATCAGTGCTCAGTTCTCTTCTGCGAATTGCGATTCTCGGACACGGTAAATGCCAACAACCTCTCCGACAACATTAAACAACTTTTTATTCTACGTAGTATTTTGTTCTGTTCTCCTGATGGTAATTGTAAAATTGTGCCACTCAAAACTATATCGTAGCAACAAAACGTTTTGGGTAATATGTATTATTATGGGTTCACCACACCACGAAGTGGTGGTGAACCCATATTGCTTTTTCTGATGTTTCTTCTCCTCCTTCTCCTCCTTCTTCTTCTTCTCCTGCCATTTTTTAAATGGATTCAGCTTCTTCATTTTAGGGCCTAAGGTCCTGAAATTTGGTATGGAGGTACAGTGGGCAAATACCCCTAGGCGTTTTTTAAATTTTTGTGATACAGGCTTTTAGAATGGTTTTATTTGAGTTTTTTGGCTGTGTTATAGCAAATGTATTACTGTGTTAGTGTGCCGTGTTTACCACGTCTGGGCATGAGTCATCACAATGGAATGCAGGGCATCAACCAATAGGCATGCAGCTTTCCTCTATACTTCTTGCTGATTGGCTGTAGGGATTTAACTTGATTAACACCTGCACAGAGCATTTCCACCTGCACAGAGCATTTCTTGCTGATTGGCTGTTGGGATTTAACTTGATTAACACCTGCACAGAGCATTTCCATACTGACAGTATGTCTTTATTCAAGTGTTTTGGTAGGTATTTCAAGCTTTTCTGCTCCAGCATTGGAATGCGGGGCATGAACGTTTTTTTTATTTATTTTGAAAATCAACAGTTTGCATTATGCAATTAAAAATCCTAACCAATCCAACTGTTGTTTTAGTTGTATGTTACTTCATATTATAGTTATATCAATGTAAATCATTGTTTTCCCTTGTGTTTCTCATTCTTTCCCTGCCATGTCGTAAAATGTGGTGAACCCATCGCTGTATTTGCTCCAAAGCAAATATTGGCCTTTCTAGTTTGCTTTCTATTCTTTCTAGGAGGGGTTCTAACTCACGTAATGTTATATTATCTGTTATGTATCTATTTATTTATTCTTCATAAATTTGAGTGTCTGGGCAAATATTATCATATTCCACATTAAATGTATAAGTGGCAGCGAGTCACTTAATCTTTTACATGTTATTTGTATTGATGTTTTTCTGAAAAAAAAATCTGTCATGACATACAGGTTACCTCAATAATATTAGTACTTACCTATTTCACAGTCTTTTCCAACATAGCCAGGAGCACACTTACAGCTGAAGGGTTTGTCGTCGTTTTCCTCAACAAAGCAAGTTCCGCCATTTCGACAGGGCCAACCAGAGCAGACTGTGGGTGCTTTGTTGACATATTAGAATGGAAGTTAAGGACACAGCAAGTAAATTTTATGGTTGACACAAAATCTAATGCTATAGAGCGAAAACAAAATAAGGCATGCCAAAAAGAACAAGATCCCTACATTTTCAAATATTGACACCATAAAACTTGTTAAACAAGAAATGATACTTATATTCTGCTGAGTTTACTGCCAACTATTACAAAATTTCTAATTACTGAAGCAACTTAGAAAAATTAAAGTTTTCAATCATTATCATTATACCAATGGTTTTGATTCAGTTGGAACATCACATGGCACAACCACCGTCACATATAAAAGGAGTTAAATACAAAATTGCATCAAAGTAGAAGACGAATTATTAAATCAAAGCTTTGTTTTGTCTCCTCTCTTCATATTCATCTGCCATCCACCTTCCGGCAAGGCAATACTGTCCAATTTTGGCGTGTCGACCGCTGTCATGATCAGAGGGCAACAAAATTTCTTGTTTTTTTTTTCAAACAAACTCAGGCGAAATTTAATGCGCGTGCTGATTTCATCCATAAAAATGAGTTGCTGACTGGCCTAATGTGCTTTCAAAAGAAGCAGCTTGTGCTATTGGTGTCCAAACGATTTCTTATTACCTGTTACACAATGCCCGACATATACTTTTCAGCGCTCAGTTCTCTTCTAGCAGGAAGACTCAGCCCGTTACCGATTTGTAGTCCATGTATATTTTCCTTGTGGTACGTACTTTGGACAAGGAGGCTCATTTCATAACCATATGCACGTAACGTATCCTTACGCTTTACCAAACGTGACGAATGAACGCCTAAACGTTACGTTTTTACTTATGTATATTTGGCACGGAAATACTTACTGATTTCACAGTCATGCCCTGTGTAGCCAGTCAAACATTGGCAGCTATACCCATGGATGTCTAAAACGCAAGTTCCTCCATTGTGACAGATCACACCAAAGCAGTAGTCGGGGTCTGCATTGACATATTGGAACTGCAGTTAATGTGCTTTAAAGAGAAGCAACTGGGATTGTTGCAAAGCTTTGCATATCAAAGTACGGTCAATGATGGTCTCCTCGATTACGACATAGCCGTCTTTCCCCGAGAATGCAATGAAACATCTGCCATGATGACATATCTAGGGCCTTTTCTCTCAAGGATTTTTTTACCGTATCGTTTCGTAACTCAAACTTAAAATCACTTCAAGCCCCGTTGGGCAAGGTACGCCGAAGCGACGCCATAACCTCACCGGACCAAGCCGTAACCTAGCCGCTGGGTCCCGACAGGCGGCCGCACAGGCACCTGTCAAAGATCACGTGTGCTGATCTGTGCTTTATTTGTTCAGAAGAAAGTGGTTATAGAGGGTATTGTGATGTTCTCGACATAGCTCCATCATCAGTGAGTCGTAGTGACCACGCATCTGCGCATCAACCAGGGGCAAACCCACCATACCAGCCAGGGGCGTACCAGCCTGGGACCCGCCAGTATTGCCCCTGGACCCCATAACTGCCCGGCCGGAATGCAAGAGCCGGTCGGCACCCCACCGCATCCCGCACGGGTCAAGACGGGAGACTGACCGGGCACCGGACGGGTCCAACAGAAACCGGCCGTCAAAGGGACCAAACGTTTTGAATTTTATATATAAGCCGCCTCAGCGCCCCGACAGGGCGCCGTAAAGGAACATTTAATTGTGACCCTGACAACTGACACATGTACCCACAAACACCCACACAAACACCCACAAACACGTGTGAAAGCTAAGATTACTAAGGTGAGAAAGAGATGGAAAGATTCAGTCTCGTACCTGGTCTCGTACCTTGCCTCCTGTACATTGGCCAGCTCCAAATGCTAGCTTGAAAAGGAAAGATCAATTATTTTTATATCAAGATGACTGACAGCGATCAGCTTTGAAATAGAATAACACTTGTCGTATGCCACAACAGTTTCACTAGGTTCGTTATTTACAGTGTAACAGTTCTGCTGAAGAAACCCCCTCACTCACTCGCTCACTCACTCGCTCACTCACCCACCCACTCACTAACTCACACACACACACACACTCACTCACTCACTCGCTCACTCACCCACTCAATCGTTAACTCACTCACTCACTCACTCACTCACTCACCCAACCAACCAACCAACCAACCAACCAACCAACCAACCAACCACCCACTTACTTAGTTACTCATAGTATGGTTTCTATGATGGTAAGAAAATGGCAGAATGTCCCAAGGTTAGCAAAATACTTAATGAAGTTATTTGGGCATATCTTCAAGAAACCACTGATGTCAACACAACGACACACTCACTCACACACACACACACACACACAGACACACACAAACACACACACATGCACACACACACTCACACACACTCATACATACACACTCATAAACACACACACACACACACACTCATAAACACACACACACACACACTCACACTCAAACACACACACTCACACTCATAAACGTACACACATTCACACTCATAAACACACACACACATACACACACACACACGCACACTCATAAACACAAACACACACACACAAACACTAATAAACACACACACTCATAAACAAACACACGAACTCATAAACATACACACAGACTCATAAACACACACACACACAGACATAAACACACACACCCATAAACACACACACACACACACACTCATAAACACACATACACACACTCATAAACACACACACACTCATAAACACACACACACATGAACACACACACACTCATAAACAAACATACACACTCATAAACACACACACACTAACACTCATTAACACGCACACACACACTCATAAACACGCACACTCATAAACACACACTCACACTCATAAACACACACTCACACATGTAAATACACGCACACACATACACACACACACACACATACACATGCAAATACACACTCACAAACACACATACACACACACACACACACTCACACACATACACATTCACGCACACATTTATACCAGTAAGAATTTAGAGCTGAAAAGATTTAGTTTCTTACGTCCTAGCCAATGGGAATCCGGTATCCCAGAAATATCTTGTTCTTTTGGACCTGTAAAACAAAGTAAATAAAAAAGGTAAGAAGAAATGGAAATATTCAATTTCATACCTGGAATTGGAAATTCACTTCGGAGGCTGTCCAGGTACATAGCTTGAAAGCGAAAGATTATTTTTATTTCCTGGTTATTTCAAGATGACTGACAGCGATTAGCTTTGAAATAGAATAACACTTGTCGTATGCCACAGCAGTTTCAGTAGGTTCGTTATTTACAGTGTAACTGTGTTAACTAACTAGAGTTCCACGATCTAATACCTTCGCCAAATGATATTAGTCTTTATGACTGACAAATTATAGATTTTCCCCCCATTATACAAATTACAAATTACTCAATTACAAGAATTATATCAGTTGATCATATTCCCCACCAAAAAGACAGTCTTATTTTAACAAAGAATGCCTCTCTAGTATTTCCTCAGTCATGCAAATGAGGTCCTTATTTGAATAAGTTATGATTAATGATTTTTACCTTCACTTAACATTTCAATACCCCAGGTATAAAAGTCCAGGCAATAACCATTGTTGAATCATAACATTTTCTCATTCGTTATGCAAATTAAGTCAGACTCTTAATTCACATAATCGACATCTGCCTGTGTTTCTCTTATTCGCAATTACATATGCCACAAGTTTGAATAGTCCTAGCATGTAATGCAGCTGATTTATAGAATTTACTCATAAATTATGCAAATTAAATTTACCATTTACATTTACATTTACATTTACATTTACTTTTACATTTACATTTACATTTACATTTACATTTACATTTACATTTACATTTACATTTACATTTACATTTACATTTACATTTACTATTTACATTTACTATTTACATAATTTTCACATAATTATGTCAAGCATCACGTAAGCTATCTACATACCAAATATCACGACGATCCGTCAACCGGTTCATTAGTTATCCTCTTTTGGATACATAATATTATTAAACAAACCTCCCTGCAGTTCCAGAGCAAGCCGCTAGGGGGTCCAAACTTATGTCACTTTTTCCCAGCCCAAGAGCTACCTACCATCTAAATTTCGTGACCCTAGCCTGAGATCAAAATCGGAAGTTCAGCAGTACCATAAGAAGCCGCTATATAGCTAGGGGCCCAAAATCTTATCATTTCGAGGTCTTATCAAGATCTACCCTCTTATCAAATATCAAGTCAACCCATTAAAGCCTTCTAAAGTTATCGTGTTTACAGACATAAGACACACTTGGTGTAGGTAATAACTCTTGGTTATGTTGAAGTAACACACTCACTCACAGTCACTCACTCTCTTCTCACTCACCCACTCACTCACTCACTCACTCACTCACTCACTCAACCACTTACTCAATCGGTTACTCATAGTATGATTTCTAACATTCAAGAACGAGGACTAGACTCACCCCGTAATTCCGTGCGATTCTAGCTAAGCTAGCTAAGAACTAGCCCAGACGAACAGTCTTCTTAGTGGGAAAAATATAAAGAATTGAACAAAAGTTGCTTTCTTTATTAGGTTCTGGACAAACGGACTTCAATATAACAATGTAATTATGATAAAGGTCATTATTTCATTAACCTGCCTTCCTACATTATATCATTAATGAAAACAACATCTTACAAGAACGGTTTAGTACTAGAAAGGCTGACATTTGCTCGGGAGCAAATACAAAATATTTCACTCCACTTCCTCCCCACCCCCCAAAAAGGTGTATGGCAAAGTGTGAAAAAGCTATGGGCATGTGTCCTAGGCGCATTTCTTTAATGTGTTTGTGTTCATATACTAGGACGTAGGAGACAAACTATACATTTTAGTAAAATCAGTCCAAAAGTCACAAAATACATCATTTTAGAGTTATGTATTTCAAATATGCTAATAAATCTCTGTAGGCTGACACTGAGTTCCAAGTCGTTTAGCTTTGATACTTAAATGGGCATAGGGGCCAAGAATATGCATCTTTGGTAGGAAAAAGGCAAACATGTTCCATATTTATATAATTTCGAAGTAATGCCAAAAGACTTAATGAAGTTTGATGGCATATTTCCAAGGCACCACTGATGTCAACACGATGCATATATACTTACAAACAGGCACGCACACACACACACACACACACACACACACACACACACACACATACAGAACTTGGGGAGAATTTAAGAACATGTTGACTGCAACTGGTGACTACTAGCCTCTACCAGGCACCGCGGATCGCTGGAAAATAGTAGAAATTGGCCGAAATAAAGGGATAGTATACCAGAGAAGATCCCGGGCCATAGAAGCTCCAATTTGCGACCCGTGGGTCGAGGGACGTCCCTAGCCGAAGCTAGGTACTCATTTCCACCTGAGTGAAGTGAGGAAAGTCGTGTAAAGTGCCTTTCCCAAGGGCACAAGATCGGTGACAAGGTGGGGTTCGAACCCACGACCTCTGAGGTGTGAGCCGAACGCGCTACCGACTGCGACCACTCACAAACACAGTTTTGTAAGGTAAAAAGAAGGTAAGAATTTAGAGCTAAAAATATTCAATTTCATACCTTGAATGACTGGGCTAGGACAACGAGACCATTGCTGTTCTATAGTATCTGTAAAACAAAGTAAAATAAGTAAGGTAAGAAGAGATGGAAATATTCAATTTCATACATGGAATTGGAAATTCACTTCGGAGGCTATCCAAGTACATAGCTTGGAAACGAAAGATCTATTATTCTTATTTCCTGGACATTTCAAAAATTGAACAAAAGTTGCTTTCTTTATTAGGTTCTGGACAAACGGACACCAATATAACAATGTGATTATGATAAAGGCCATTATTTTATTAACCTGCCTTCCTACATTATATCATTGATGAAAACAACATCTTACAAGAACGATTTAGTACTAGAAAGGCTGACATTTGCTCGGGAGCAAATACAAAATATTTCACTCCACTTCCTCCCTATCCCCCAAAAAGGTGTATGGCAAAGTGTGACTAAGGTCCTTCAGCATGTGTCCCACGCAAATGCATTTAATGCCTGTGCCTTATTGCCTAAATACTAGGGCTTAGGAGGCAAACTATACATTTTACTAAGTCCAAAAGTCTCAAAACACAACATTTTAAGGTTAAGTAATCCATATATGCTAATAAACATCTGTGGGCTGATATATCCAAGGTGCCCCTATACTGAATTTCAGGGCATAGGGACCAGACTTATACATTTTAGTATGAAAAATTATATTAAAAAATTATAAAATTTTAAAGTATGAAAAAGGAATTGATGAAGTTATTTGGGCATATCTGATGTCAACACAATACATACACACTCACAAAGAAACACACACACACACACACACACACTCCAAAACACACACACTGGAAAACACACACACACACACACTCCAAAACACACACACACACATACTCACACACTGACACACACACACGCACTCACAAACACACACACACGCACCCACACACTCACAAACACACACACACACAAACAAACACACACACACACACTCACAAATACTCGTATGAGTGTGTGTACCAAAGTCGACTGCTTCTTCTCCCCACCGACTTGAAAAGAAATCAAGAGACATCGAGGTGTGATTTCACGGTGGAGTGGCTTAATTATGTGCAGGGCGGGCTACATTTGTCATTTTCTAGGCCTTTTCTGAGGATCTCCTGGAGTAATGGCGTGCAGGTTAATCCCGGCGTCCCATGCGCTTTTGGTATAATTTATGATTACGGTTTTTCAATTCCCTGGATGCATAGCGCCAGGGGTTTAAAATGTAACAGAACGTCTTATTTTGACCGCCTGATGCTATTTTACGGGGCCCCTTGCTCTTTGCATGGAAAAATGGAAAAATTAAAAATACAGGTTTGGATTCAATTGTGAAATCTTAGGTATCTTCTTGTACACAACCCGAAAAATCCGTCCCTGAGAGGTAGTTATATTAAGAAAAAGAAAGAGTTCAACAAGCTCATCCGAAAACGTAAGCAAGATAACTGTCTAATGCGTCTTCAGAATCTTCAAGAAACAACCCCATCACCTTCTAGAACTTACTTAAAGAACAAAAAAAAAATACCGACTCATTGCCCCAAGAAGATCTACCAGCGGACACTTGGGTTGAGCGCTTCTAAAATATCCACAACAAATCCAGACTAAAACATAAAAACTTTTGCCTAAACTTAATTTGAAAAAGAAATTCTACGCAAACTCCAAACACTCCAGAAATGTAAGTCAAGCCCAGGGCCTCTAGGTAACCCAATCACGGGCTCTGAAATCAATGATGCAATACACACCCTTAAAAACAAAAAAAGCCAGTGGAGAGGACATGGTCATCAATGAGATGCTTAAAGCAGGAAAACGAATCTGTTGACCCCTCTATTAAGACTGTTCAACAATTCATTTTCGAATGGACTTTTCCCAAAAACGTGGTCCAGAAGTTATATTGTCCCCATTTTTATAGCAGGGCGAAAAGATGACCCAAATAATTATCGTGGGATCGCCATTTCCAGCTGCTTAGGAAAGCTTTTCTCCCCAATACTAAACAAAAGACTTCCTATTAAGAAAATGAAATCATAAAACCAACCCAAACAGGATTCAGAAAAAAAATCAGGACGTCAGATAACATCTTCATATTCAAAACTCTTATATCTAAAGACACACAGTCTGGAAAACGCTTATTCGCTTGTTTTGTCGACCTACCAAAAGCCTTTAGTTTTACTCCATTTGGCATGAGGGACTGCTATACAAACTTCTCTCCTCGTTCGCTGCGCTCACTCGGTGGTTTTATTCGGTGGTTATAGCAACTGCCAAGTCTTTATCACACCATATACATCGAGGATCAGGCGGGTCATTAACGTTATCATCTACTTTAGTTAGCAAATATCTAAGTAAAAATGCACGACTATATGCCTGTTTTGTAGATTTTAGTAAAGCGTTTGATTCTGTTTGGAGAGAAGGACTTTTACAAAAATTGGCTGAACTTGGAATAGGAGGCAAATTTTAATGACTATCAAAGATATGTATTCCAAAACAACACATTGTATCAAAACTAGCCGCGGTCTTACCGAAAATTACGTAACTGTGGGGTTCGACAAGACTGTAACCTGAGTCCAACACTGTTTAATTTATACATTATAGTGATTTAGCAAATGAGTTTAATGATCATTCTTGTAACCCACCCCCACCCCATATTACATAATAAGATAGTGACTTGCTTGTTATACGCAGATGATCTAGTTATATTTTTTGAATCTCAACGGGGTCTGCAAGCATCTTTAAGTAGATGAGAAACATATTAAGAAGACAAAAGTAGTTGTATTTACCAAGGGAAGCCGTCTGCCAAAAGACTGTAATTTTTTGTACAACAGCAATGTAGTAGAAATAGTTACAAACTATTGTTACCTTGGTATTGTGTATTAATGTAGCCGGCACGTTCAAGGTAAACAACAAACACGTGTACAGCAAAGGTCTGAAAGCACTGTTTGGAGTCAATCAATCTCTAACAAAGCCAACGTGACAATATCTGTAAGAAACAAACTTTTTGACACATGTGTAAAATCAATATTGTTGTATGGTTCCGACATCTGCGGATCATTGCTGTTTGCCGTGACCTGTACTTAGTTCGCAATCGAGCAAAAATGTACAATAAAGGTTTTTCATTCTATTATCATAAAGCCTATCCAAACTTACACAGTAAAGAGTGACACATTCCTGTATGACACATGTAAACTTAAGTTATATAACAAACCATTACAGTCATCCCCTATCTTCCCGCCGTTTCCCCAGTTCCAAGGACCCACATAGGGGTCTAAATTGGCCTCAATCAGTTCTTCTATGAAAATTGTGACACCGCATTGTCCATTGTATGCCCTAAGTGTGATCGTTACATATTCTACCAGAGTTCATGTGAGTTCACCGGAATTTTGGAACAGAACCTGTATTCCATTTGTGGTTATTTTGGACCAAAAGAATAGAGAGAGCTTCCATTTGAGGTCATTTGGATGTTTCAATACAGAAATTAACTTGCTAGTGGGGTTGGCGTTTTCTTTCCTTTCATTCAAAATTCACATCTTGGGATGATTCTGCAATACTTGTATTATGCTGGGAGATTACGGTGTCATAATCAATATGAAATGGGGGCTTCTGATTGGTCAACGCCACCTGGCTATATGATAATGTGGTATAAATACCTGCTCTAGTATACATCGTGCTAGGATGGCTTCTATTTGAATCCAGGTTTGCCGTGATAAGAAACTGATGATCATTGCTAATATCAGTAGATTTTGACCTTCTGTCCATCGGGACGTATACAGTAGGTCGATTTCTAGTTGGAATTAATACAATAATTGACCGCTTACCATGTTCTGGTGACACCTTTTTTTCCTGAGCATACTGATGCGGCGTGATCCCCTCGTCCAACTGGGGAAATCTTTGTTCTGAAAAAAGAGGACGGAAGTATGCCATCGTTCGTATGTTCCGTGGGTGCGATAGTGTCGTAGGGTTTTAGTTTCACAAGGAGTAGTTTCAACCACATATTAGCCGTAGACTTTCCAATTTGATTTGTACATTCTTTTTCCTCTGGAAACTGTGTCAATCCTTTGACATACTTCAAATGATGCACTGCTTAGATTATATATTCACGCACTTATGGCGACAACTTTTCCGTCCGACTGTGCCAATACTATGACACACTTTAAAATCTGCAACGTTTAGGCTGAATATCCACGAACTTCGGGACGGAGACTTATTGTCAGTCTGAAAAAAACTTCAAAGTTTGCACTGTTTAAATAAAATATCAGCCAACTCAGTCCGGGCGACTTTTTGTGTCGAACCTATAACACATCAAGATCTGCATTTCTTAAACTAAAGTTAAAGTGTAAAGTTTCTAACGGTGTTTAAAGTGTATATCCTTTGCACTTATTGTAGGAAACTCTTCCGTCGGTACGATGTTTGAAATTTCTGAATACTTTTAAGTATTCATTGAGTCTGTTTAGATTTTATGTCCATAAATCTAAAAACTAGAACTGTGTCAATGCTATGCTACTCTTCAAAGTTTGCAGTATTTAGAGTGCATATATTGAAGAGTACTGTACATGTAGTTCATCCTACTCTAATTTCAACCATATCGAAGTGAGTCACCTCTGGGTCCTAAACTATAGAAATCCCCAAAGAGCGAGCACTGCGTTCTAAAGAGCTGTCGTCATCAGTTTACGTTGTGCGTGACTTGCAATAAACATTTATCGTACCTAAACTAACATAGCAATGTCGATCAATATCCTGAGCAGGCCCTTTGCACTTTGCCCCACCGTTCGTTGGTGCAGGGTTGGTGCAGGTTCTGTGCCGAGTTCGCGACGTGAACCCAGTAGGTCCGCTAGCGATGCAGTCAGTCCATGTACTCCAGCTGGACCAACTGCCATCTATATCAACCTCGAGCAAATTAACCTCTGAAACCCATAAATGATGTAATATGATAATCACGTAAAATGATTACGAAGTGAAGGACTTTCCGGAAATATATGGACTTCACACAGTGTCAGTATTCGGATAGACCCAAGAAAATGAACACAGAAACACACACACGAACACAGAAACACACACATGTACACGCACACACAGACACACACACATGTACACACACAGGCACGCACAAATATGTACACACACTAAGAAACACACGCACGTGCACATACACACACACACACACACACATGTACACACACACACACACGTGCACACACACACACACATACACACACACACAGAAAAAAACACACACAAACACACCCTTGGATGAGAATTGATTTCAAACTAGAGTTCCCTGATCTCATACCTTCGCCAAATGATGTTATCTTTATGACTGACAAATTATACTTACTATAGATTATCCTCCTGATTGTGCAAACAGGATTCTCATTTTCATGCATTATATCAGTTAATCATATTCTTAACCTAAAGACAGTCCTTAACATTGAAATGAATGAAAGAATGCCTACCCAGCTACCGAATATCAAGACCATCCATTTAAGCCTCATTCAACTTCATAGAATTGAATTCTGAGGGGAGCCAGCAACAAGAATATAATGTTCCTCCCAAAGGCCGACTCCCTTTGAGACACATAGAACACATACAAAGTTAAAAGATATATAAATGATTGAAAATTAAACAAAGACAAACTAATAATAATGGTAATAACCAAATGATAACCGCACGGTGGTAAAATCTGGGCTGCAAAGTTCCCACATTTCATAGAATCCGAACTGTGTTCGATGGTGTTCGATCTGGGCGATTCGAATCGAACCCGCGTTCCATTTCGGGGTCACCTGTGGTCATTTGCAATAAAGCGGCAAAACAAGCCCTTTTGCCTGAGTGACTCGTAATAGATAGAAAAACAACACTTTTCTATAGATACAAACAGTTTCCAGGATAGTACATGTCCGCTATCACTTTTTTGTGGACATGTAACATGTAGCGAAGCTACTGTCGTATCCTTGGGTGACCTTGAATACTGTAATGATTCTTTACGCCTGTATGAATAACACAATGCACACTTTTGGGAGATATGACATGTCTGCAAAACTCGTTCAAACCTGGAAACATGGAGAGTCTGACATACCCCATTTACAGCTCAAAATGACTGTCAGGGTTGTCCCGAAAATCGTGCTTTTGGGATTTTTGAAAAATGCGCTTGATTTTGAATTATGGGTAATTTAGTGCGAAAAAAGCAAAAAAATTCGATTTTTTCACCTATTTGTCGACAAAAACTATACTTAAAGTCAAAAATTAGAAAATCCCTAAAGCACGATTTTTCATCTTATTCCTAGTCGTCGAAAAATATAAAAATCAGTGATCTTGCGTAATATGTGTAGCCAGGTTTGCTCGGTGATTGGCTAAAATATGGCGCTCCGAAATCCCGAAAATTATCGACTTTTGTAACGAAATCCGAAAAAATCATCCATTTAGCGCAAAAAATCACCATTAAATGTATGTAAAGACGATAATTTTATTTTATTTCAATGAAATTTCCCCTCGATACTAGTTTGTTTATTTTCAAATGTTTTACGGTTAGCCCAAAATTGCGTCTTGTAACCCGATACTTTATCGAACGCCCCCAGCAATGGGAAAGAATGCCGTAGTGACAGACCGCCGTGATAAGAGAGAAAGAACAAAACAGAACAATTACAAGTGTAACAAATCCTAACTAATACAACATAGAAAATACATGAACGATTACAAATGAAAGGAGAGAATTAACCAGACGTGTCGCTAGGTGGATAAACAGATAGCACATCGGCAGGTGGAGGTCCAGGTACATAGGTCTTGCGTTACAAAGGTGTCATTTTGGTGAGAAATTAACATTGCTTTAACAGAATTTAGACTGAGATTGGGATACATGTGTTGTCGGATCTGTAATGGTAATTGTAACCGTAACTTCCCCTACATGTTACTGAAACACTTGCAATGCGGTAGCATTTCCTGATGTACTGTCAATTTGTTATCGGATGTTTATATTTTAAGTACTTCGCGTAACGTTAGAACCTGGGATAGCTTAATTCCTCTCTATATCATTGGACCGACACGCCGTGCATGTACTAAAGACATGTCACTTAGTCAATCAGTTGTATCTAGTGCCAGATACTTGCACTGATCAAGTTTCACAAATGAATGTTTCGGTGATCTAGATTGCTACTTTTAAATCAGATGTTATATGAGAAGGAAATACAAAGGAACGACGGTAAAAAGCTTATTTAACGTCCCTTTTTAGATCAATAATTACAGCTTTCTGTGCTTGCGTTCATTTCGGACGATGTGTATCAAAACTATTTTTCAGCCGAATTGTAATGTTGAAAAGTTTCGCGCTTAGAATTCGCGCTAATTTGAAGATAATGAGGTTAAATCTATTCATATTAAATTTTTCCAATGTTTTAAACTTTATTGACAGATAAATACCGTTCCCCAACTGATGTTATACAGTTGCTCTGTTTGGGTACCTGGTTGGACCTGGAAGTAGACAGGACATAGCTAGGCCCCCATGCAAACCGTAAAACATAGAAAAACCACGACAAAATGAGTACTTAGAAGGCAAACTTTGACGGGACATATCTCATCTTCAAATAATTTTGGAATTCTACAGACCTACACACGGTTGTCTAACTTCTTAACTCCAAGTGGACACATAAACAAGCCTCATTTGACGCATTGTTACCGTACTACGGCTTATTGTATGCCGGAGTACCAAATTCGGCTTCGTTTAAAGCTATCTAATGCATTATAATGCCCTTACTGTACTTGGTGAACACCTCAATGCTTCGTTGATAACTCCGGTACTTGAAGGCACGACTATCTCTTTTTCTTTTCTAGGCTGGTATCATGTACTTAATAGTTGGATATTGCCAGACTGGCAGAAGACCGCCAGCAGTGGAAGACCTTGGCCAAACAACATGCTGCCTCGACGACTGATTAAGCTATGGGAGAGAGTGAGTGAGTGAGTGAGTGAGTGAGTGAGTGAGTGAGTGAGTGAGTGAGTGAGTGAGTGAGTGAGTGAGTGAGTTGGATATAGATATCAGACTACCTGTTGGATGTTCACTCTGAGGTAAATGAAAAGTCTTCTGCTTTACGTGATTATCATCCACTGCGTCCTCTTGTCCGTCCGACAGGACTGCTAGTGCTGTAAGGAGAGAGTACAACTATGACATCGTACATGTATGGGTGTCGACGGATCCGTAATAATGTATACATTATACATTATACTTCGATGTGTATATATAATATATATTAACATTTAAGGGGTTGAATTTAGTTTGCAGGGTTTTGTGTCTCTGAACTGTTCTTAAAATTTGCTGGGAGTGTTTTTTAGGTGCCTAGAATTTTTTTCACCTACCGGCATTTGTCCTAACTTTTAATGCTGACACCGCGTAGCTAAGAAGAGTAGTCAAACCTGTCCAGGTGACCACTTCTTCAAGCTGGCCACCTGTCGCAGTCATAAGCGACAATCCTCCGTGAAGTTTTATATATTGCAGATTGGGAACAGTATCCCCCTGAGCATGACGCGCACCACGTCCTGCCACGTCCCTTGCTGCTTGACCAACGCCCCCACGGCCTCACCTCGAGCACGACCCTGACCTCTACCCCGAGCGCGACCTTGGCCATTTGCAGTTCCCCGGCCAATGTCAAGTTCCCCGCGTTCAGGTCCTGTTCTTCCCCGTAATCGCTGTCATTTTCACTACTCTCTGCGGAATCCTTATCTGGCGTGGGATATTCACTGCCAGAATCGGCAGTTACAACGTCTTCCAACACTTGTCCAATCGTATACGTCGCCATTTCGACGATAACACTACGAATTCCCCGCTAAAAACTCAAACAAATAGCAAATTACATTACGTAATGTTGACCGCAGCCGTGCCTACAAGTTACTTCCGGGTGCAACAGCCGGGCGAAAACACTTCCACAACATTATAGGGATGTTTCTAAAATATGCATTTACTTCAATAAGAAACTGCTACGGTGAAATTAAAAAGACGTGCATATCGCATCATCACGGACATAATAGCACACCACATGCCCAATCAAACAGAAATGCTACGTACAGAACAATGCGTTTTGGCTGCGATCATCTTGAAGATTCGGTCCAATACTTCATGCATGGGCACATCTGCCTGAAGTTTGGACGACCCGCCCGCTATTCCAAACAGCGGGTTTTTCTCGACTATTCCAATTTGCCTCATGATTGTAGGGGTGCATTTGAAATATTACATAGACCGCGAAAACAGCAACGACAAAAATACACATTGTTGCATCATCACGGGCATGCCCGCAGACGGCGTATGAAGTTACATGCCGATTACACAAAGGTAACCCCGTGTTCTAGTTGCGAACGCGATAAAACGGCCTTTCACAACACTCCGTCCGGAGGTCCTGACCGCCTTCACGGAATAATAATACAACATAGATGATATATAAACGATTATAAATGAAAGGAGAGAATTAACCAGACACGTGTCGCTATGTGGATAAACAGATAGCACATCGTCAGATGGAGGTCCAGGTACATAGGTCTTCCGTTATGAAGGTGTTACTTCGTGAGAAATTAACATTGTTTTAACAGAATTTAGACTGAGGTTGGAACACATGTGTTGTCGGATCTGTAATAGTAATTGTAATCGTAACTTCCCCTACATGTTACTAAAACACTTGCAATGGCCAATGCGGTAGCATTTCCTGATGTACTGCCAGTTTGTTACCGGATGTTTATATTTTATGTACTTCGCGTGACGTTAGAACCTGGGTTAGCTTAATTCCTCTCTATATCAATGGACCGACACGCCGTGCTTGTACTAAAGACATGTCACCTAGTCTATCAGTTGTATCTAGCTAGTGCCAGCTACTTGTACTGATCAAGTGTCTACTACATTTCAATTAGATGTCATATGAGAAGGAAATACAAAGGAACGATAGTCAAAAGCTTATTTAACGTCCTTTTTTTAGATCAATATTTACAGCTTTCTGTGTTTGCGTTCATTTCGGACGATGGTTATCAAAACTATTCTTCAGTCGAATTGTAATGTTGAAAAGTTTCGCGCTTAGAATTCGCGCTAATTTGAAGATGATGAGGTTAAATCTATTGAATTTTATCCAATGTTTTAACCTTTATTGACAGATAAATACCGTTCCCCAACTGATGTTATACCGTTGCTCTGATTGGGTAGTACTACCTGGTTGGACCTGGAAGTAGACAGGACATAGGCCCCCATGCAAACCGTAAAACATAGAAAAACCACGACAAAATGAGTACTTATTAGAAGGTAAAATTTGACGGGATATACATGTATCTCGTCTTCAAATGCTTTTGGAATTCTACAAACCTACACACGGTTGTCTGACTACTTAACTCCAAGGGGACACATAAACCAGCCTCATTTGACGCATTGTTACCGTACTACGGCGTATTGTATGCCTGAGTGTTCTAAGTACCCATTTTTGCTTTGTTTAAAGCTATCTAATGCATTATAATGCCCTTACTGTACTTGGTGAACACCTCAATGCTTGGTTGATAACTCCGGTACTATCTCTTTTTCTTTTCTAGGCTGGTATTATGTACTTAATAGTTGGATATTGCCAGACTGGCAGAAGACCGCCAGCAGTAGAAGACCTTGGCCTATCAACATGCTGCCTCGACGGCTGATTAAGCTATGGGAGAGAGTGAGTGAGTGAGTGAGTGAGTGAGTGAGTGAGTGAGTGAGTGAGTTGGATATAGATATCAGACTACCTTGCAACGTTGGATGTTCACTCTGAGGTGAATGAAAAGTCTTCTCCTTTACGTGATTATCATCCACTGCGTCCTCTTGTCCGTCCGACAGGACTACTGATGCTGTAAGGAGAGAGGAGAACTATGACATCGCACATGTACGGGTGTCGACGGAACCATAATAATATATACAGTATACATTATACTTCGATGTGTATATATAATATATATTAACATTTAAGGGGTTCAATTTAATTTGCAGGGTTTTGTATCTCTGAACTGTTCTTAAAATTTGCTGGGAGTGTTTTGTGGGTGCCTGGAATGTTTTATTTTTTCACCTACCGGCATTTGTCCTAACTTATAATGCTGCCACCGCGCAGCTAAGAAGAGTAGTCAAACCTGTCCAGGTGACCACTTCTTCAAGCTGGCCACCTGTCCATTGAGACCGCTTTTTCTCGGTCCCAAAAAATTCCCCATCGACGCATTAAGCAACCTGTCCAAATTGACCAATTTTTTCCAATGTTTTAACCTTTATTGACAGATAAATACCGTTCCCCAAATGATGTTATACCGTTGCTCTGTTTGGGTACCTGGTTGGACCTGGAAGTAGACAGGACATAGGCCCACTATGCAAACCGTAAAACATAGAAAAACCAGGACAAAATAAGTACTTAGAAGGTAAACTTTGACGGGACATATCTCGTCTTCAAATACTTTTGGAACTCTACAAACCTACACACGGTTGTCTGACTATTTAACTCCAAGGGGACACATAAACAAGCCTCATTTGACGCATTTTTACCGTACTACGGCTTATTGTATGCCTGAGTGTTCTAAGTACCCAATTCGGCTTTGTTTAAATCTATCTAATGCATTATAATGCCCTTACTGAACTCCAAGGGGCGGGGACACATAAACCAGCCTCATTTGACGCATTGTTACCGTACTACGGCTTATTGTATGCCGGAGTACCAAATTCGGCTTTGTTTAAAGCTATCTAATGCATTATAATGCCCTTACTGTACTTGGTGAACACCTCAATGCTTGGTTGATAACTCCGGTACTTGAAGGCAAGACTATCTCTTTTTCTTTTCTAGGCTGGTATTATGTACTTAATAGTTGGATATTGCCAGACTGGCAGAAGACCGCCAGCAGTGGAAGACCTTGGGCATACAACATGCTGCCTCGACGGCTGATTAAGCTATGGGAGAGAGAGAGAGAGAATGAGTGAGTGAGTGAGTGAGTGAGTGAGTGAGTTGGATATAGATGTCAGACTACCTTGCAACGTTAGATGTTCACTCTGAGGTGAATGAAAAGTCTTCTCCTTTACGTGATTATCATCCACTGCGTCCTCTTGTCCGTCCGACAGGACTGCTAGTGCTGTAAGGAGAGAGTACAACTATGACATCGTACATGTATGGGTGTCGACGGATCCGTAATAATGTATACAGTATACATTATACTTCGATGTGTGTATATGATATATATTAACATTTAAGAGGTTGAATTTAGTTTGCAGGGTTTTGTATCTCTGAACTGTTCTTAAAATTTGCTGGGAGTGTTTGTGGGTGCCTGGAATTTTTTTCACCTACCGGCATTTGTCCTAACTTTTAATGCTGACACCGCGTAGCTAAGAATAGTAGTCAAACCTGTCCAGGTGACCACTTCTTTAAGCTGGCCACCTGTCCATTGAGACCGCTTTTTCTCGGTCCCAAAAATTTTCCACATCGACGCATTAAGCAACATGTCGAAGTTGACCACCGTGGTCACGTTGGACTGGCCTAATTGTGTACAGGGCATTTCTCATTTTCTAGGCCTCTTCTGGGGATCCCCTGGACTAACGGCGTACATGTCGATCACCTTATGCTCACCGCTTTCCAATTCCCACGATGCATAGCGCCAGGGAGTAAAAATTCCCAGTTTGCATATCGCTAGGACAGTAGGGTCGGAATTAGGCGTTTTTACATTCGTTGATGACAGAATCTAAAATAATCCTACGATAAACTTCAAACGATACTCGGGATAGCTGTATAAATTGTATATTCCGCAAACTCAGCCCGGGCGCCTTTTTTGTCGGAAAATTGTGTCGAACCTTTAACACATCAACATCTGCATTTCTTAAAGTGTAAAGTTCCCAACGGTGTTTAAATGGTATATCCTTTGCACTTATTGCAGGAAACGTTTCCATCGGTAGACTGTTTCAAATTACTGAATAGTTGTAACACTGCGTTCGTTTAGATTGTATATCCATGAACTTTTCTATCTAAAAACTAGAACTGAGTCAATGCGATGCTACTCTTTAAAGTGTACAGTCAGACTGCATATATTGAAGTGTGCCGTATAGAAATGAATGAATGAATAAATGGATGTTTTATACCTTTTGCCGGGAGTGTTTTGTGGGTGCCTGGAATTTTTTTTCACCTACCGGTATTTGTCCTAATGTTAAATGCTGCCACCGCGCAGCTCAGAAAGAGTACTCTCAACTACATGTAACCGTGACTTTCCGTTTTGATTGTACATATACTAATGTATATTCTAACACTTCTGAGGGGAGCCAGCAAGAGGAACATAATGTTCCTTTCCCAGGCCGACTCCCATAGAGACACATTAAAGACATACTTAGTTTAAAGATATACATGATTGAGAATTAAACAGTCTCCCTAATAATAATGGTAATAGCCAAATGCTAACGATTATACAAGAGAGAAAGAACAAAATAGAACAATCACAAGTGCAACAAATCCTAACCAGATTAAGAACAGTAATAGTGTATGTAAACAGTGTGTGGTCACTTATTATATAATAACAACTGGTAACAACGTATCGTAACAAGAATTCTAAGAGTTCATACCTCCATGACATATATGAGTTTTTGGAAATGTTTTTTGTCTCATTGATTATGGAAATAAGATCGTAATTAGCACAATCTAGTTTAATTTATGGTTTTCCAAATTCAAATTACAATATTTTTCATGTACAATTCCTCTCCTTTGTCATACTAGTACTTTATTTCAACACGTCCTCATTAATTATGCAAGACCTCTACATTAACATAATATATGCATAGTGATGTTAACGTCACAAGGTATGAAATTCCCATCATTCACCAATAAGGAGTCACAGAATTTTTCCCATTAAGTATGCAAATTAGGTCATCATTTGCATAATTGGTATCTTTTGATGTTCCATCTCCCATAGACTACATACATTACATGTATGAAAGTACTACGAACACGACGAAAGTACTACGAAAGTACTGTTCACAACACTCAGTCCGGAGGTCCCGACCTCCTTCACGGAGTAATAAACAGTTTGTGATCGCAGACGTATGTGACCGGGCCTAAAACAATGTCTGTTGGTCGAATTCTGTTCAGATAGATATGGCAAACTACGTACGTTTCATACGCTGCATTCATACATTCTAAAGTTAGCTTACCTTGGCATGTTGGAACAGGATGACTCCACGTTCCGTCAGTTTGGCACGTCGGAGTAGCAACGCCGATCAGTGTGTATCCCGTGTAACAGGTGAAGGTGACCGAGTTCGGGTAGGAGATCGGACCGGTAGCACTCACCGCCCCGTTACCTGGGGCCGCCCGAGCCGGACATTGGACCGCTACAATGGGAAAACAAGCAGTCATAAGCGACAATCCTCCGTGAAGTTTTATATTTTGCAGATTGGGAACAGTATCCCCCTGAGCATGACGCGCACCACGTCCTGCCACGTCCCTTGCTGCTTGACCAACGCCCCCACGGCCTCACCTCGAGCACGACCCTGGCCTCTACCCCGAGCGCGACCTTGGCCATTTGCAGTTCCCCGGCCAATGTCAAGTTCCCCGCGTTCAGGTCCTGTTCTTCCCCGTAATCGCTGTCATTTTCACTACTCTCTGCGGAATCCTTATCTGGCGTGGGATATTCACTGCCAGAATCGGCAGTTACAACGTCTTCCAACACTTGTCCAATCGTATACGTCGCCATTTCGACGATAACACTACGAATTCCCCGCTAAAAACTCAAACAAATAGCAAATTACATTACGTACTACGATGTTGACCGCAGCCGTGCCTACAAGTTACTTCCGGGTGCAACAGCCGGGCGAAAACACTTCCACAACATTATAGGGATGTTTCTAAAATATGCATTTACTTCAATAAGAAACTGCTACGGTGAAATTAAAAAGACGTGCATATCGCATCATCACGGACATAATAGCACACCACATGCCCAATCAAACAGAAATGCTACGTACAGAACAATGCGTTTTGGCTGCGATCATCTTGAAGATTCGGTCCAATACTTCATGCATGGGCAAAAAAAAAACATCTGGTACCACTTATCGACCCTTCCGCACATCTGCCTGAAGTTTGGACGACCCGCCCGCTATTCCAAACAGCGGGTTTTTCTCGACTATTCCAATTTGCCTCATGATTGTAGGGGTGCATTTGAAATATTACATAGACCGCGAAAACAGCAGCGACAAAAATACACATTGTTGCATCATCACGGGCATGCCCGCAGACGGCGTATGAAGTTACATGCCGATTACACAAAGGTAACCCCGTGTTCTAGTTGCGAACACGAAAAAACGGCCTTTCACAACACTCCGTCCGGAGGTCCTGACCGCCTTCACGGAATAATAATACAACATAGATGATATATAAACGATTATAAATGAAAGGAGAGAATTAACCAGACATGTGTCGCTAGGTGGATAAACAGATAGCACATCGTCAGATGGAGGTCCAGGTACATAGGTCTTCCATTATGAAGGTGTTACTTCGTGAGAAATTAACATTGTTTTAACAGAATTTAGACTGAGGTTGGAACACATGTGTTGTCGGATCTGTAATAGTAATTGTAATCGTAACTTCCCCTACATGTTACTAAACACTTGC